TGGCATATGTACTACAACGTCTCCAGCGCTTTCATACGGCAATGGCCGTGGCTGTCTCCTCCTGATTGGTGGAGTTGGCCCAATAGCCGTAGCGCCACCGTCCTGACGTCAGGACAGTGTTCAAATCTGGATCAGTTTTTATCAGATCCGTTGCAGCCCCTTTTTTAGAGATTTGGGTATGGAGGAAAATAGAGAGGGTTGTGTTTTCTGACACTTGGTGAGTTCCCTGGAACACCGGGGACACATATTCATGTAGAAAAGACGTACAAAAGTGCATTTTGCATGATAGGTCCCCTTTAAGTCATTTTGCATGACATTTAAATACAAAATCAGATCATTTACATACAGTACGATCTCACAGAGCTGTTCTGCAGAGACTGTACCATAACAAGATTCAACTTGAGTCACAATGACAAGATTTAGTTTAAAGTATGACGTCATTCTGCAGTGCCTCTATTATCTCACATTACAGCAGACTTATCTCCAGAAAGGACAAATAATGAGAGCAGAGTTCAGGTCGGAGAAGGTTTCTCGCCTTGCATCAGGAGGAAATGTTATATAATCAAATGATTTCCCATTAGCATTATTACAGGATGACTTGGATAGAAGATAAGCGTATTATGGACGCAGTTAATGCTTTCTCTCTTGGCTGTTTGCTCTAAAAAATTATAATATCCCAGTTAAAATGTATAGTTTAGTTGAATTAAAACCAAACATGGGTGGTACAGAGGAAGAAATCCACATTTGAAGCAAGAAAAACATGACTTTTATTACAAATGACGTATTTAAATTGTGATATTCGCAGCATCGCGCTCACATTGATGCTCAAATGACTCAAAGAGCAGCTTTAAATCAATGAAATTCACCTTTTCTGCGACTGCAGGCCTTAAAGCTACGTCTTTTCAGTGTGCAGCGTTTGACAGGAGATATGTTCATGAGCTTGGAAGCTTTTCATATTCTCATAGCATTATATTATTCCCCAAATAAGCTTTACCCTGAGTTTAAACCCCCAAAGGGTTTTTATTTTGGTTATTTTACTTACTTCGAAGATTTTTTGTTTATCCCCTCGTTGTTTGTTGCTGCCTTTTCTTTCCCTCTCTTCCTCAAATCTCTCCCTCGTTTGGCCGATTAAACCACAAAGAGATGTGATGTACAAAGTGCAGACTGACAGATGAAGTGAGTCAGCGTTTGGCTGTATCAGTATCCAGAATATAAACCCTAACACTGAGGATATATTCCACTGAAGCAAACATATGAGTCTCTGTTTCTGTGTTTGCTGGGTGTTGTTTAGATATGCTTCCTTTGAGACAAGGAGACACTGACCTGAGAACATGAAGCATATATATATATATACTTACATGTCTTCCATAATAAGTCAAAAGGGTTGAAGGTGAGCATAATGTGACCCCTTTAAGATCGATCAGTGCTTGAATAAAACAATGCTTTTGAATGTAAGAGGAAAAGTTCGACACACAGCAAACAGAAAAATGCCTTTATTTCCGTACAGACCCTAAAAACTCTGCATTCCTTGAACAAACGATCACATACTGTTTAATCTCCAGACAGCCATTGTTCCTCTGTTCACATGTTTAATGCAGCAGCTCTTTGCCGCCTTTCTCTTGCTCTCCCAGCTGTGTGGTTTGCAGCTTGAATAAAACAAACAAAAGGGGGAGATAAGCAGAAGGTTTTTGAGGTGTCACATTCGGCTTTCACCCTCTCTCTGCCGGTCCCTTCGGATGTCCCTCTTTTATATTTCGCTCATGCCACGCTGGCATTTGCATCTCAGACATGAGTGTTAGTGATGGATCAATCATCGCGGGGAGGAAGAATGAGGAAGAGGTTTTAAAAATGTCCCGATGATTGGCTGCCTGAGCAGAGAGCTCGTCGAACACCGTTTTTCATGTCGATACAATCAGGAGCTTTCTGAAATAAATGATGTCAGGCTGCTCTTTACTTTGGGATACCGTGTTTTGGTATTATAACATTACATTTTTTAGGTTTAAATAATGAAAGCATTGTTTACTTTTGCATGAAAAACACACTTAAAACCTGCCTTCGTTCACCTGCTATCATTACTCCTGTTGCATTCACCTGAACACAATACGTGTGTGTGTGTGTGTGTGTGTGTGTGTGTGTGTGTGTGTGTGTGTGTGTGTGTGTGTGTGTGTGTGTGTGTGTGTGTGTGTGTGTGTGTGTGTGTGTGTGTGTGTGTGTGTGTGTGTGTGTGTGTGTGTGTGTGTGTGTGTGTGTGTGTCCCACTTATCTCATCCATCAGAGTATTTCACTACTCCGCCTGTCAGTCAGCAATACCTCACTGTCACCCAGACGAGGGGGATGCATGATCATCTATCGTGTCCTTAAGTGTGTGTGTGTGTGTGTGTGTGAGCCGGTGACACACACTGTTGATGTCTCAGTTGGTGTCAGCAGCTCCACTTCTCATCCTAAATGTGTCTGCAGTCAGGGCTTTATGCTTTGATCTTTTAACAGTCTAAAGGCCTCTGCACAGAAACATCCTCGCTGCAGCTCACACATTTCTAAACCTACAGAAACAGACACTTGTCTTGATCACTTCCTGGGTTTTTAATCTCCTCTCCTAGTAGTAAACATATATTCAAATCCCTCAGTTTATTCAACAGTTGCTAATTCCCCAAAAACATGGTTAAACATTATACTACATGTCCAAATCAAATGCTAATAGATGGCTAAATCTACGCTATACTAAGCGTCACATTGTTGTCATGATAGCTTTGAAATGTCCATATATTGTAGAGATGAGAGAAACCAAAGCATAACCAGATTATTAATCTAGTGTTCATGTACACGTACCATTTTCGTCAAAAAACAACGGGTCCAAACGTGATTTAGTTTTCTCGGAGCAGCTCAGATTAACTCGGTCCCTCTGAGGAGGAGAGAGCAGGATACAAGCCAACACCTTAATAGATGTTTATCTAACCAGACATGCTAATATTTGTTTTCCACAATTTCCATTTAAATCGACAGTGCTGGTGTGTAAACAGCTGTTTAGTGTGTGTTCTTGAGGGGAAGAGATGAAAAAATGAATAATGAAGCGTACACAAAACAGCCATCATCTTAATGAAGGCTTACAGCCATATTTGGTGCAGCATTTGCTAATCTTAATACAAGTTAATCAGAAGTGAAACACAGGAGCCGGCAGCCAGCAGCTTCCAGACACCGTCTTATATCTTAGAAGATCTGAAGAGACGCATAAAGAATATCATTTACTGTCAGCGTACAGCCTGGTCTCCTTTGCCTCTGAGCCACCTCGCAGTCCTTCAGAATAAAAGCGTTAAAGTGACAGAAAATAACGGTTATAGCTGAGAGAGGTTTAAAAGGTTTCCACATTATTAAATTGAATCTTACACAACCTCTCCACGTAATGCTTTAGCCATAACTTACTGTTATTTTCCTTAGCCATAAGTCTGATAGTGGTTTTCTTGATTCATTTAGTTGTTATTTAGTCCACGAAATATCAAAAACAATTGTTTCTGAGCCAAGGTTGATAACTATTCTGTCTGACAGACCTAGCCCAAAACACAAAGATAGTCAGTATAATAGGACAAAGAAAGGCATCGTTATTATCTTTTTTAAAGCAATTGCAGATAAATTATCTATTTATCGCTTTAAAAAAATCTAATTATTTGTTGATTTGCATTTGCAACACTTTGAAATGACAATAAACAGAGTGACATAATACATTTAGAAAGAGATTTGCAGTGCACAGCATCTGAGAGCAGAATGGTGTCAGTGACTAAAAGAGTCTGCAAGCTACAGTACAGTGGAGCAAAGGACATTCAGAGAGGCACCTGAGAGCCAGAGAGCATGGCACAGTGTGCACAGAGCAATGCAACACATTCAGACAGGCAGCCTGGGGAAGGGAACATGAAGAGACAAATATCAGGCAGATCGCTCGCTGTTTTATATCTCTGGGGAAACGGCTGCAAAGACAACTTCTGCAACTGCATGACCCCAAGTTGCGTTTAAACAAGAAAACACCCCTTAGGTCAGAGATGTTTACACAAAGCAAGTTTTGTCAAATCATATTTATTTGTATATATGACATCAAAATATAACCGAGTCAATATCAATTGCAAGACTTCCATTTGTGTCGTGGTTATTGGGACATTTAGTGAAACATTGAACTCAACCACCATTTTGCTTGCAATAGCAATTAAACTGGCCTCGATTTTAATTTCTTTGCATCTTATTGAATGCATTTTAAAGTGTGTTCCAGTGAACCAATCAGACAACTTATCCAATTGAAGTGCATGAAACATTGCAAGAAGGATACCAGGAATGATGGCTGATGATATGCTTACATTAGAGCAAGAAATAAATAAGACTGAAGGAAATTCATGTGGCTGTAAGTTGGCGTGATTGAGTTACCATACAGTAGTACATCAGATGTGATGCACTTAGTAAAAGGCCTGGTCACACCAAGTAGTGGCATATCAACAAGTCTGCAAAATATTTGGTGTTAGGATCTTGATTACGTAGTGATTACTTGGTGAAACACTTTAGCTAATATGCTATCCTACTGGGTTACCATTTTCTCCTGTTCACTGGCATTTTTTTTCAATCGCCTTTTCCACCAAAATCCTCACTTATTTGCAGAGACAACTAGTTTTAAATAGGTACTATATTTCTCCCCGATTACCAGTAGATAAGTATTCCTTCTGGTTGGATTTGATCCTGATTTGAATGCCATAATTGTCTGCAAACCACGTCTCTTATGTTAAACTGTTTATACTTCATCACAGCAGGTTAAATTAGTGCACAGCTAATTGGCTATAGCTTCCTTTAGTTTGCCGTTAGCTCTGTTCCCCTAAAGGTCAACAACGTAAATGTCTGTCACTACAAAGGTAACTACATTTGAACATTTTTGAAAAATATCCATGTATTTCCCCCACCAAAGAATCTACTTATCATGGTGATTCTGGTCAAATGATTTGACATAAAATGTCATTTTTCATGCTGGTGTGACCCGGCCTTGACTCCACTCTTTGAATAAATGCTGTCAAAATGATTTTTCCCTACATTTCAATTGATTTATTTTGCCGTCTGAGCCTGAAATAGTAGACACCATTAATACACCGAGTGAGCAGCTGTTGTGGCCTGTTCCCTTAAGCGTTGTTGAAATGTGTCAAAGGAACTTCTGATGGCTTCTCCGCTCAGAGCTAGTATGCGGTCACTTTAGGTCTGATACAAACTCTGACGACAGCTGAACTTAAATGAAACACATGTACAAAAGGTCTCAGAACAGAACGTACAGATAATCCCATGTAGAGAAACACATTGGACCATATACTTTAATGAAAACAGTTCTCAGTGTCCATACTGTGCCGCCGGTGTTTAGTCGGGGTATAAGATGAAGCCGGAGAAGGTGCTGTACTTGTTGTTGTTCCCCCCGTGAGCTTTGCCTCCGTCCAGCTTGACGTAGATCTCGTCTCCAGAGTCCAGGTGCAGCACGGCGCTGTTGCTGGCGTAGTCGTAGTTCTGGTCTGCGTCCTGAGCGATGGCGCTGGCTCTGACCTGGGGAACAGAGGACAATACTTCCTGTAATAAGCAGTGGTTAATTAAAGGAGATGTATTCATTTAGGAATAACCCCCTGAGATGAACCGTCTCGTTTTCAAGGGGGTCCTAACATATGGTACAACCAACACACAGTAGCAAGAAAACAACCAACAAAACCACATGACTTCACACAACCACAGGCAAGACAATCACAACACAACAATTAATGATACAAATTAAGAGTAGTAGTCATGTTACACACATTGTACCCCTCCATGTCTCAAATATTTGATGGTTGTAAATCAAACAATGTAAGATCATTGCATTTATTTTGAAACTTTCCACATTTATATGCATTTTGGAAAAACGGTGCCACTACTGGCACAGACATGGCTCTTTCTAGATGCTCAGAGGACTCTAACTAATATTCAAATATCTCTTTTGATAGACAATCAACTTAATAAATCATAGTCTACCAGCACCACAACGACTGATTTGTCAATAGAAGGGGGCAACCCTAATAATATTTGAGCCAGATGCTTATCATCAATGAATATTGATTATATTAAGACTTGTTTGTAAGCCCTGATCCAGCTGCTGTTAACATCTGGGAGGAAACACTCACAATCATCCAAACTCACAACAACAGAAATATCCCAGATGTTACCAGGAGTGAGTCGTGCAGTTATACAATAAGTGCAGACAAGAATAACATATAGCATGCTATAGTCATTTTGTGCGTAAAATGCACATTTTATGACTCGATTAAGCTGCTTTAAATGTAATAATCTTCATTTAAAAAAGATAAGATAACAATCTGCCAGTTCCTTATCGTCTTGTTGCTCATGCTCTAGTTACCTGTCCGTTTTTGCACAGGTCGGCCCACATGCTGGTCCCGTCTCCTCCGCGCATCAGCACATGGTAGGTGAAGAAATAGATCCCGGACACATGGCAGGTGAACTTCCCGGTGCTCGCGTCGTACCGGTTCCCCAAGTTTGTAATCACGTCGTCAAACTTTAACACCTCGTAGCCCTCGTGTGGGTTCTTCAGACCCACGTAGAAAGCGATCTTGAATCCGCTGGACGTGGAGTTCACACTTTCCAACTCTGCGTTATCAGAACCGGCAGCTCCGGTCACCGCGGCGACTTTCCCGACTCCTCTCTCCCCTGGGGGGCCCCTCGGACCCGGGGGTCCTGGTGCTCCCGGTGTGCCCCTCACTCCCGTTTTCCCCGTTCTGCCCGGCTCCCCTCGGCTCCCCTGCGCCATGGGGGGCTGCGGAGCGACACCGTTTTGGATCACCTCCATGGTTGTGGCGCCAGGTTTGGGAGTGTACGGGTCGCACACCATCCGACAGGTGCCCATCATCTCGTAGTGGTACGCAGAGGTGTCCGGCGCGCGGAGCAGAAGTAACGGGACGGCCACGGCCAGAGCGATCAGGACCATCGCGACGATCACCAGCAGGACCACCGTCCACTTTCTCCGGGGACGGAGGGTCGACAGGAAGCCCGCGGAGCCCCTCTGGACAGGAATGGTGACGGAGGAGGAGGCTTTCGGGAGGAAATGAGGGGAAGTTAATCAAGTGTCCAGATGTTGTGATGATGGCTTCACGCCTCTGGGCAGCGGCTGGGTGGAGAGCTGCAGCCAGCTGGGGAAGATACCCAAGATAAAACCGGAAGATAGAGAATAAGGCCTTCAGATTAAAACAATAGGTTAGGAGGATTTAAGAATATGAAAGAAAGACGAGTAAATAATGGCACTAACCGAGGTGGTAGAAGTACTCAGATCTTGTACTTGAGTAAGTACCAGAGTGGAATACTTAAAGTACCAAAAGTAAAAGTACTCATTATGCAGATTGGCCCATTTCAGAATAATATATATTATATGTAGTAAATATAATATATATTATTCTGAAATGGGCCAATTAAGTACAATCCTGAGGTACATATTATATTATGTACCTCAGAATTGTACTTAAATCCAGTAGCCTACTTGAGTAAATCTGAGTTACTTTACACCACTGGACACTATATTACATTTTATTTTTTTCCAAAGCCACTTAGTAAATGTATTTAGCCATGTCCTTGAGGATATAAATTCATAGTAATAATCCTATAAGTACATTTGTTTTCAATAACCCTATACCCAACAGCATAAACAGGGTGAAATGAGCTGCAACTCTAACAAATGCGACATAATTTTCTTCACAATATTGCATTTTTTATATCATTATGATTACGTTTTCCACCACTGCACCAGAAAACACAGAGCAGTTTTTTTATTAGACACTAAGTCAAATTGTAAGAAAGGGTTTTATTTTTAAAGGCAAAACAGGAAGTCCTCTCTTTCGACTCAGCTGACTTGATAAGAGAATCAGTCAGTGCGTAAAGTTGAAGTCTGCGCAATTGTTATTCAAGATGGCACTAAATATTTATCATAATTCAGCAAAGGATGCTCAATATTTAAAGTAGAAACTTATCTCCATATTATACTTGAATGTATCAATCCATGCATATATGAATAGCCTTAAAATGCCAAATGATGCCATATGTATTTGAATAAATCTCAACCATGTAGAGCTGTTTATGAATTCGTATAGGTGGGATCGTTACCATACTATTTATTCACCTGTATTCCCCTTTGACAGTTATGGTTTCACAAACAGATGCATACATTCCTCAGGTACAAGATTGGGGATTTGGATTAATGTCTAACACAGTGTGATAAGTCAGAGTGGGAAATGTATTTATTTCTAAATCTTTCTCAAACCATAATATACCATAATAGTATTAGGAAGACTCTCCAAATCAATGGAAATGGCTCAAAACGTCACACATTCTTGCTTTCATTATTTACAAGTCCACCTTGACAAGGTTAAAATCCTGTTTAAACTTGTGACTACATCCTAATATTTGACTCGGAGCATGACTCCTCAAAGTCAGGAACGAAGGCTAAGGGCAGGTTAGTGTGTGACATCACATGACCAACCACACACACACACGAAGGAGAAGACAGAGGGGCAGAAGGAAAGCAGATAATTTATACAGGAAATGGACTAAAGATGTCTGACGGCAGCCGACACCTTCAGCTCCGAGCTCCCCCGCGGCAGCGACATATTTGATGTCTTGTTTCACGATGTGCGGAGCCACAGGCCGTGAATTTCGATTCTCCGGCAAATTAAAATTCTCCCTGTGTGCAGACAGTCATTACTCTATTGCATACAGATCTGTCTTAAATACCTCCTTTGTTCCAGGGAGGCCACCGCTTGTTCTAACCATATCTTTCATAAGCACAGCTGAATAAGACTTTTACACAACCTTTTGAAGCACCAAAAAAAGAGAGCAATTGAAAATTAAAAGCGTCTATTGATTGCGTCGCTCCAAAAATGCCCCCATGAAGGACCTGAAATACTTCAAAAGTGCATGCTGGGTATTAAGCACCTGGAATTGGAGCGAAGGCCTCACATCCACAACAGAGGCTTTAGAGCTCAAGGCGATGTTGAGAAACCTTCAGAGGCCCGAGACGAGGCTTAGCCGAAGCCCTACAGTCACAGTGCAGAAGCCAAACCCCCCCGAAGCAATTTCAACTCGTGCTCAGCTCAGCTTTAACCCCCAGAACATGACTCCTGCTGGGCTGCTCATGTCTGAAGGTGAGAAAGAGCACGCCAAGTCATGAGAGCTCGGGCTAAAATGAAATCGAGGTTGAAATGTAAAGACAAAGATGCATTTTCATCCACTGAAATGACACTTATCTGCAAAACCCTAAGAATAAGTATGCAGGAAGAACATGATGCTGCCCCGACTGTGCTACATGACTGCAGTAATGACCTTTACTCAGGATTAGTACAGTGAACAGTATCTTTAGGCGATGGTGAGCCATGCACGACACACTGTCCACATTATGCACTGCCGCTGCTGAGACTATCCTGCCCGGCAGCGCTAGGGCTGCTCATCACACTGCATGCTAAAGGACTGCTTTGTCATATACACAGAGCATACAGTGAGACAAATTAATATATCTGTCATTTGTGCATTTACACCTGAAATCAGGGAATCACTGAAACACAAAGACTGTTTTTTGGGGGTGTTTTTGTGTAAAAATGTCAGACAGAAGCTTACCTTTGAGTCAGGATCTTTACAATTCCCAGTCCTTTTTTTAATACTGTTTCAGCATTTTCTGCAAAAGCCATTTAATACATTCAGTCTTTGTCTCTCTTTTAAATAGTTTTTTGGCCCCACATGCTGGATTCAAATTGCCCCGTTAAAGGTGGGGTAGGTCATTTTGGAGAAACCAGCTCGAGTGCGCTAGAATTTGAAAATACACAGCCGGAAAAAATCTGCCACTTCCTCACAGAGCCCCTCCTCCAACACACACGAACGTGCACATGACCAATGAGGGCACGAGATAAGTGTGTGCCCCGATGGAAGGCTGACAGGCAGGTAGGCCATCCAGTTACTTTAGCCGGGCCGGCTCAGATGATTGGTCGTGCTTTTTACAGTACTACGGCTTCCACAGATGACATTTTTTTATGGATTTTTTGTCAAAGCACTTAAGATATTCATTGCTATCAGGATGTTAAGAGCATTCCATGGAATATAACAAAAAGTGTATCTCGAGCCGGTTTCTCAAACTTACCTACCCCACCTTTAAGCATGAGGGATTCACAAGAAACGGCATCCAAAGTACCTATCATGCAGAAATCCCCTTTTTTAGAGTACCATATTGTTGAGGCATAAACAAGCAAGTAGCATTTTACTGTACTGTTGTATGTTTGTGGGAAACCTCCACTGAGCCACAACAATTTAGTGGTAAACTTGCATCATCAGCTCCTGTCCTAACATGTGTCCCTAATCTCTGATGAAGACACCTCGGCTCCTGAATCCACAGAAACAAACGTCTTCCTCCATGTCACATGTTGACAGTGAAGCCCCGTCGGAGGCCAACATGGCTGAATTCGTCCACCTCAGGCTAACCGTTTATGACCGTGCCTTTCCCTTGCAGCTCTCTAATTGCTGTGGTAATGTTATTATGAAACGGGAAACAGCATCAAAGGCAAGGAAAGGTTACGAAACCCCGCTGTTTGCTATTTTTCTTTTAAATATTAGCAATGGAGTGGTGCAGCACAAAGAGTTAGCATTTTACCACTTCTTCCAGTTGCTTTTTTAAACATGTTTTTGGTGAGATGCCTGAAATAAGGTCTGTGGTTCACACAAGCTTAAGATATTCTCACATTTTGTTCTACAATAGAAGTTACGTCACTTAATTCCTCTCATTCATTTCTAAACCTTTTACAGGTCTTAAAAAATGGCGGTTGCTTTCAACTGACTAAATGTCATCACGGCGAACATTAGCCACCTTTAGCTGTGGTGACATAAAGTCATGTGAACGTGATGTTGTCCCTTTAAAGCCTAACATTAGCTTTATACTATTGCATTTAGGCTTTAAAAATGATCAAAGTGGTGTAAATACGTGAACATAATCCTGCTGAACAAACCATATAAGTACACAGAGCTCATTTTCTATTGCATTCTGTCGAGGGAGCCCTTGCTATTCTAACACATCACTGTAGCACTCTATTAGCAGGGTGGTTTTAGGGAGAGTATTTAACTGAAGTCTGTCCCCTATGGTTAGAATAACTTTAATTGATTTGACGTGTAAGATTAAGGGGTTTCCACACCAGGAGAATGTAATCAATACCTATGAATAAGAAATCTTAAAATCATATATCTATGTCAAGGAATGTGACCTGAAGCGTTGTGCACAAACACGAGGCCATGGCCTAGAGAAAGAGAGGGTGGTGTGTGTGTGTGTGTGTGCGTGCGTGCGTGTGTGTGTGTGTGTGTGCATGTGTGCGTGTGTGCGTGCGTGCGTGCGTGTGCGTGCTCTGTGTGTGAGTGTGTGTGTGTGTGTGTGTGCGTGTGCGTGCTCTGTGTGTGCGTGTGTGTGTGTGCGTGTGCGTGCTCTGTGTGTGAGTGTGCGTGTGCGTGCTCTGTGTGTGTGCGTGCTCTGTGTGTGAGTGTGTGTGTGCGTGCTCTGTGTGTGAGTGTGTGTGTGCGTGCTCTGTGTGTGAGTGTGTCTGTTAGTGGGTGACACTGATGCAGCGCTGTGAGCCAGAGGGCTTCAACCTTTTGCAAGTGGCAAAGGCAGACGTGATGAAGTCATGTTGACAGTGTGTAACCTGCGGTCAGACATTTTTTTTTTAACACAATTTGCTTTGGCTTTTCTCTCCTAATCCCAGGGCCAGTTAATCAAATACACCGACAGCAGCAGATGGAGTCAAGCGAGAGACTACTATTAAAAGTCTGCCTCTATTTAGTCTGTTTTTTAGTATGCCATTTATTTTTCTCAAGGGCATATTTAATATAGATTGTACTTGTGGTATGTGTACAGTCCAAAAGCTATCCACCATTATATAAAGCTATATTAACACAGTATAGGATAAGAGA